TGGACAGTGAATAAGGAAGATCGTAGAAGAATTGATGCCTTTGAGTTGTGGTGTTGGAGGAGAATACTGAAAGTGCCATGGACTACCAAAAGAACCAATAGATCTGTTTTGGAGGAAGTGCAGCCAGAGCGCTCCTTGGAGGCCAGGATGACTAAGCTACGTCTCTCCTACTTTGGACATATTGTCCAGAGAAAGCAATCGTTGGAGAAGGATGTCATGCTGGGTAAGGTGGAGGGTTAAAGAAAAAGAGGAAGACCCCCAACGAGATGGATCAGCCAGGTGGCATCATTGATGGACTCAAGTGTGGCGGCAGTAGTGAGGTTGGCCCAGGATAGGACATTGTTTCGTTCTGCTGTGAGTCGGTTCTGACTCGATGGCACCTGACAACAACAACAACAACATTTTCAGTCTTATAGGTTTATATTCTACTTTGGATATTTCTATCAGTTTATTCTTCTAGTCAGTCTTCAAACCACTTCTTAATCCTTACTTTGAAGCTCAGGGTTCCAAGAATATCATACATATATGTATATTTGTAAGGAGCTCTGGTTACGAATCAGGCTGCTAACCTGTTTGAAACTACCAGCCATTCGGTGGGAGAAAGATGAGGCTTTCTACTCTCATAAAGATTTAAAGCCTCAGAAACCCTCAGGTTCACTATGGAATGAGAACGGACTCCATGATACTTAACAACAACAATGAATTTTGTGATTTCACATCTTTGTTGTACAGGGCCTCAGTAGCTCATCTGACTAATTAGTCATGTTGCCTGAATCCCAGTTCTGATCATTTATCTTGCTATTTTGTAAATTTTCTATGTACACAGAAGTTTACTTGTGTTTTATTGACTGTGCAAAAGCATTAGACTATGTAGTTCATAATAAACTATGGATAACATTGTAAAGAATTGGAATTCCAGAATACTTCATTGTGCTCATGAGAAACCTGTATAAAGACTAAGAGACAGCTGTTAGAACAGAACCAGGAAAGATGTGTGTTAGGGTTGTATCCTTTCACCATATTTATTCAATCTGTATGTTAAGCAATAATCTGAGAAGATGGATTACATGAAGAAGAACATGGCATCAGGCTTGGAGAAAGAATCACTAACAACATGCAAAATGCAGATGATACAACCTTACTAGTGGGAATCAAAGAGAATTGAAGTACTTCCTGATGAAGCTGAAAGACTGCAGCATTCAGTATGGATTGTACCTCAATGCAGAAAAATTTTCACAATTAGACTAATAAATAACATCATGATAAATGGAGAACATATTGAAGTTGCCAAAACTTCATTTCACCTGGATCTACAATAAACATTCTTGGAAGCAGCAGTCTAGAAATCAAGTAAGACACTGCATTAGGCAAATCTGCTGCAAAAGATCTCTTTAAAGTATTAAAGAGCAAAGATGTAACTTGGAGGACTAAGGTGTACCTGATCCAGCCATAGCATTTTTAA